AATTTGATTAGTGTGATTAACCATTGCACTTCTCCAAAGTAAAAAAGCCTTCTTGTGCTAATTTGTGTTGGCAGTTTCTCTTTGTGCTGCACAATAACCAACTAAAGCTTTTTGAATCTATATTACAACAATATCTTAAACTCTACTTGTCTACTAAGTACTTTATCACCCAGGATTATGTCTGGGGACTATGGCCAATCCCCATTTGCTTGTTAAATTATTATGAGTTTTAAATATAGTGTGGAGATAATTTTAATAGTTTGACAGTTTTTGTTTTTTTTTAAAGACAAAAAAGTTTGTGTGCCTTCACAAATGTGCACATTTTAATTGCGTTTACCACATTCATTTTTATTTTTTTTCCACCACAATTGGAATGTGTTTCAGTCTGTGAGTCTTCACACATTGCCTCTACACTCTCATTAGTTCCTATGCAACCATCATGGAGCAGGAGTTTGGAGATAATTTGAGTTCTGACAAAGACTGCAGTGATCAATCATGTATCATTTTGGAATAGTGTCACTGTATCAAGAGGGTGACATAAAGACTTTAAGGGGTGGCAGAAATGCTGGTTTAATTGGAAACAATGACATATATCAATATTTGCTTGGAATGTATTGAATATAAATATATAAAGGTGACGTTGGAATTATTATGTTTTTTTTCCAAATACATGTCTTTTGTAACTGAACTTAAAAGTATAGTGTATAGAATTTAGTGGTATCTAGTGGTGTAATTGTAGATTACGATTCCCCCAATTCACCCTCCCCTTCCAAGCACCAAGGAGAACCTACGGTGGCCGCAAAATGTGCCAAAAATGCAAATGTCCCATCTAGATCCAGTGTTTGGTGTGTCAATTCTAAGCTAGAAACATGTCGGTTCAACATGGCCGACTCCATAGAAGGTGACCCGCGACATCTGCAGATAAAAATGGTTCATTCTAAGGTAACAAAAATGTATATATATACACTTTGAACTTTGAATATTATATTCCATTTCTGCCAATAGATCCTCCTAAATGTTACACACTGGACCTGACCCTGTCAATTAGTTTAAAATGTGGCCATAACAGATTTAGAATCATTTAATTTTTTTTAATACTTTAATTTAATAAAAAAATTATCCAAATGAAATTGTTAAATTTGACAGCATTTGATACTTAACTAAAGAGGCAGCTAGGGTGTCCAGGCATTTTCTATTACCCAAGGCCACCCCTCTAGAACTGCCCCTGCCATTACCATTATATACTGGACATTAAATGCTTCAATCTATGCCATTAAAATCTATTTCAATTATATTGACTTATTATTTTAGCTGATGTTGACTGCTCATCAATTTACAGTTCTGCTCGCATCAGCAACAAAATATTGAAGGCGGCTGTGAAATGATTTAGACGCAACTACAGATGCAGAGTTAATATCATTTTAAAGCTCTCAGGTCCAGATGAGATATTACGCAATACCACATAAGTGCTTCCTCAATATTTATTTCCTTTTATTATCATATGGCAAGCAATAATCTCTTTGCCTTTCAGCCAACATCCATTATAATGTATCACATTTGTATAATATATAGTATAGGCCTAGTTTCCAGTGCAGTATTGATGCATTTATAGCAGACTTCCCATCAGGTATATTCTGCTGAGAGGTGGAAATAACTGGGTACTAAAGTGGGGGGCTCTGAATTTCACAGTCCCTCTCCAACAATCAATAAGCTCCTCTTGACCTTTATGTGCATCAATAATGGTATTTCTGCCTTTTGGAGGAGGATAAGAACTTTAGTTCATCCTCAGATAGGAGTATTTCTTCCCCTGTGAAAACTGTTGGCTCAGGATTCAAGTGCCCAGGAGCTCAACCAAAAGCAAACATTGAGACCTAAATGGCAGTGGGGAAAGTGCACAAAAGAGAATTGCTGGGAGAAATGAAAAGGAAATAAATCAACCAATGCCTCTACTGTACGTATTTTCCATTCTTTCTTTTGACCGGTGCATGAATTAAGGCTTGCGAAGAAACTTGCCTTGGGTTGAATGTCTAACATGACATTGGTATTCAGTGTGTGTCCCTCTCTGTATGTCCACCTCTGAGTCATGCAGAATGAACCCTCAGCAGCACTAGGTACATGACCTTCCCTCCAACACCAGCACTGCTTCTGGCTCTCCACATGGTAACTTGTTAATGTCAGCTCTCTCTCCCCATCTTTCCCCAATCTCTCTCTATGTCACATACACCGAGGTGAAAAGTTTGACCCCTAGGTCTTACACAATCATATCCTATCCTTTTTCACCCTAGAGGGCTTGGGACTTTGGCTCTGACACCCAGGAACAAGTGACCTTTCATGGGTATGTAATGAACACCAGCCACAGCCTCCTCATTCCATGTCTGGCTCCGGGCCAAAGTGACATGTACAACATCAAAACAGTCATTAGTTGCTACCTTTTTTTTAGAGGATTGTCTTTAACTAAGAAAAAGCAGTATGAGGTTTTGGGGTAATGCCCTCCAACATGCTTGATTCCAGATTCCGCATTTGGACATCAGAACTGCTTATGTGACCAATACTGGAGAGGACTTAATGTCCTCTGGGCCACTCACGCCTGAAGGCTTGCATACTTAGTTTGGTGACTCATATAAAGTGAGCTACAGGCCTATATTGTTTTCAAATGGGTTTCTGCTCTGTGACATCAGTAACAAAGTGCTAAAACAGATGCTTTAAGACAAACCTCTTTGCAGTTCCTTATTTTAATACCCCTTTGGAAAAATCTAATACATACACTATGTCATCACCCGTTCACGTCTCTGCTTTTAAAGTGAGGCCTTCAACAGAAATCTGTGGTTGGTGATAGAAGAATATATTGTTAATACACACCAAAGCACGGGTATCCCGGTCTGCTATAATGGCTAATGGGACACTGTTGGATACATCCCTCAGTGACATCTCTCCATTATCCTCAACCCTGTTCCTTATCTGTTCTCTAAAGAAAGTACACAGGGTGGCTCTATCCCCGCACCAAAATAAGTGGCAGACAGAGAGCCAGATGGGGAGAGGAAATGGAAGAAAGGAAAGTGCTTCTACACCAGCTGCTATCCTGAAAAGTGGTTACATTTATAGGAAGGGGAGCAGATCAAAGATGCCGAAACCATTACGCACACATGTGGCCTCTTCTTTTCATGAGACTCCAATGGGTCAGGTGGTAATGACTCCCCTTTCACATTAGAGGGTGTTTAGTGGTCCAAACCTGACAAAGGAACAGGATGATCAAAGAAGCTGTGCGGCACTGGCTTTGTATGTTTGGATGTAGAGTGGGATTTTTTTTTTTTTGCCCATGTGTGAGGGTTTGCATGGATAAAAACCCATGTCTGAGCAGGAGTAATGAAGCTGGGATATACTTTTCTTCTGAAAGTTGTAGCCCAGAGAAGACAAACAAAGCACAACAAACTTTGGAGTGATCCTGTTGGCTCAGTTATAGGACTTATTACAGGAAGTATTACTGTATATCATATATTTGCAACAGCATGGCTAAAAGTTTTGCTTGTGTCATCTTTCCTCATTCTCACTCTCTCAACATTTATTTGTATCCTAACACAACTGTGTGGTCATTTAACGTTTTTTAAAAATCACTACCTTCCTTTTTGCTGAGAAATCCTATGTATAAATTAGATGAAATAGCTCTCATGCCTTAGATGATTAGATGTAGATAGAAATAACATTTTACATAATACTTTAGTATCTGATTCCTGGAAATACATCCCAGGTCCACAATTACGATATACAAACTGTACTTGAAAGCACTCTTTCACACACAGACACACACACACATGCAAATACACAACGTAAGTCAGCTTTCATGCTCTTGCATCGGTTACACAGAGAAAATGTGCCTTTAATTAAAAATCCAAGGCCACTGCGGAGGGCTGTGTAAACCTGCATTGTGTATTTGTGTACTTGTGTGTGTACATGGTTGTGTCTATGCCTGTGCAGGTCTTCTGTGTAAATACATGCAAATAGACATCTGCATCATCTGTTTTCTCATCACACATCAACATATAGTCTACAGGACCACAATGATAACAACATGAGAAACAGCCTTTGGGTGTTGCTGCCAAAAATATTCCTGTGTGTAATCATTCCGTGACATTACAACATGACTCACATCACAGCCAGTAACACCAAAACAACCGCAACAGCAGGGTACATCTGTACAAAGAAGATGAAAACTTAAAAAAATAAAAAAAAAAATTTTTTTTTTAAGACAGATCACAATGGACCTATCAAAATCTCATGCATATTACCATAAATATCCATTGTTGCTCACCTTGTCAACTGCATGAGTGTCAAGACTGACCTTGCATGATGATAAAATGCATCCTTGAGTTTCTCTGTAAACTGAGGTGCAGTTCTAGAATCTCATCACTAGGAGGTGCACTTGTATGAAGCAAAACTTAATCTCCACTTCTCATAACCACAGCTCACAAGTTCTACTGTCAATGTTTCCAGTGTTAAGGCACTTATAAACCAGCTATAACAGACAATCTAAATCAATTCCCATGAAGCAACATATATGTCAGTGTTGAGACTTGTGCTAATGCTCTAACATTCCCATAATGCATGAAAGAGGTGATTGGATTGAACTTTTATAACCCCCCAAATCATTGATTTTGTGAACTTAGTCATGCTTGACTGTGTACCTGCTGAGCAAATTAAGCAGCCGTCAGCTTATGAGTCCGAAAACAAAGCGTCTATCTATGTCAATCAATTTCAAAACCCCAGAGACGTGGAATTCACGCCATCAACCCTCAAACAAAACGATCATTGCCTTTGAGCTCTCAGACCCACAAGTCGATGCAAGTGATCGGGGAAAAGACACATTTGCGTAATGACGTGCAATAAGAGGGGTTTCCCCGGTGGTTTGGGAGGGTATTTCCCCTGGTAGGTTTTATGCAAAGCGGGGATCATTAGTCCAGAATGATCACCCATTGTTAAAGGTGAGGTGATAATGGCCTACTTACCATATTGACTTCTGATACCATGTCTATGCTGGCTATGTCTATATTCATCCCCACTCCAACCGGAGGACCTGCAGATCAAAACAACGGCAAGCAACAGAGATACTGTACATCAGGTGCAGCCTCTATGATTCATTGACACATTTTAAAAGAAACACAGATAAACAGTTGTGAATGTTTAGCTGTTGTCAGCCGGATAATAGTTTACAGTGTTCATTTCGGGTGGGATTAGATGCGCTGAGCTGCGGTGAAAGTGCTGGCAATTCCCCTAAAAGTTGTTGACATTAAATCATCTAGCTCCATATTCCCGTCACAGTGAACACCTGAATTGGACCGTGGATGTGAACAAGAATGGACACTATTTTGTATAAAATTCCAACAGACGTATACTGGGAGTTGACAGCCACGAGTCATTTTTCATTCAAATAAATGAGCTGGTGTGTTTTATCGTGCACGTTTATCCTTCAGTCACATCACTCAGGTGTTCTTCCATTATGTCGGCACTCTGGGTTGTTTTGACACATTTCCCCTCGACTGTATCATATAAAATATCTCTGACTGTGGCACCCACTGGAGCCGATAAGAAATGTCTCTTTTACTTTGCGAATTTTGCAAATCGAATTGAGTTACCGGTGACCGTAGTAGTCGTTTAAACACTGTACTATTACACAGGCTGACAAGGCGCAAACTCGAACAGAGTTGGTGATAATAACGAGTTCATTTACCTCCGAAATCTGGCCTCAATCGTATATCATAACCTTTCAAGAGTCTATCCACGGTTTCTTTAACCAAAGACATATTGCTAGGGTCATTGACACCGGCACTATGGAAGAAAAAAAGAGAGAAAGGGTGCACAACAGATTGTAAATACGAGACATTCTTGAACCTGAAAGTGTCCAAGTATTTTCCATGCCGTCTGTAACACAGTCACACTTAGTAAAAATGAGTGGAGCATCCTCCGACCCTTTCTCTTACCTTTGGGCGCACACCACGGCCACTACGAGGGGAAACAACCAGACGCAAAAACACATCATTCTTCTTATTCTGAACACTGCCATACTTATGTTATGTGTTTTTTTTCTTTTGGTGAAGACAGACGAGGTCCAACTTATTCTTCCCAGTGCAGTAATTCCAATGCCGGGCGCATGCGTATTCCCGACCACAACATCAAGAAGCAGCGCTGTTGCTGATGGTAGTGGCAAATGTAGTACCCAGCCACGGAGAAAATTTAAAGGAGAACCAAGACTGCAAGTTAGTCAAGGGCTCACACGGGGGTCTCCCTGGTTTCTTTACACCCAGTGTGGCTGTTTTAGAAGCGGTGACTCTGACGGGAAAGTTGGCGGTTCAATTCCACGGGGGCGAGGTGGAAAATGTAGGTGTGGTTGTCTCCCTCCGTTCGCTCTTTAGACACCCGTCAGCCAACTCATCTAACTGTCCCTGAGCGAGGCACTTAACCCCGCTGCTCCAGCAGAGCTGTTCGGGGGCTCCCAGAGGAAGTCTGGACTGGACAGCTCCTAGTGGATCTAAGCAGAGCTAAAGCCAGAGAGAGCTCTCAGCTTTATGAATCAGTAGGTTTTTAAGTTGACCAACTCAAACTTTCATAAAGTTCAACGCATATTAAACAATAATGGGACCAATACAGCTCGTATTGTCTATTTCTGGGCCTTACGTTGTGTTGTATCTTAATTTATTATGTGTTTATTGTAAAATAGTGATATTGATCAGTGACATAAGTGCCTCCGTGCATGGGTGTGGACTTGCACGTGAGGCAGATACCGAAAAAGAGAGATCTTGTTCTTTTGGTGAGTACTGCCTGGCGGGTCCCAGGGGACAGCTGAGGGAACAGAACAGATTCACCGTTTGCTCATTCCTTCCAAAGAGAAAAGAGTTGGTGACTCTGTCCATGGTGCTGAAACTGGTGAATTCAGTCCCCTCCCTCTCTCTCTCTGACTGTCCACTGTGTTGAATGTACTCCCCTCTCTCACTATCGCTTCTCTCCACACAAAAGGGGGTTTCCGTGCTATAAATGCATCCCTGCACCGACAGTTGCTTAGGCGTCGATCTCCAACGCATTCGGGCCTCTGACGAAAACGAGAAGCGTGGCATAATACACTGAGAGGCGCGCGGTGCCCGTGCTGTGCCTCGGGGCTGGAAGCGGGATGCATGGAGCAGGGCAGTATGCACTGAAGCCTACACTCAGCACATCTCTCGCAGCCATGCACGCTTGTGGCTCCACGCACTGGTAAGCAGGACGTGCGCCACTGTGTAAACTCGGACACGAATCGTCATGGATATGGTGGGATCAGAGGCGGATGCTAGAGGAGTGAGCCCTGTGTAGGAGTCCTACAGCGGCTCTCCTGCCTGAGAGAGGAGGGGAGCAGAAGTGATCCAGCCAGGAAGATGCTAAATGTGCTGTACTAATAGCACAAGTACAAAAAATGATGACTGTCTGATGAGATGTTATTGATTTGTTCGCACTAGATATTGTAATCAATTTTACCATTTAAAAAATGACATACAATCCTGAAGCCTATTTCACCTGATGGGGGCGCTGCAAAAGTCAAATTAAACGTTGTTTGAATTGGGTAATAATCAATGTTTTATTTCCAGCCCCATTGCACAAATTGCTATCTACAGGGGGTTGATATGAAATTGTTGAGAGACAAAGATTAGTTTGGCAGCTGCATTTTTGGTTTATAATTCACTTCATAAACCCCCACACATGTCAAATATCCAATTAAAATGTATGCAAAATATATTTACACTGTCTTGTATCGCATTAGCCAAAATCTGGGGCAACGCATTTATGGATTAAAAACTGGTCATGATAAGTTTCTTCAGTTTGCAAATAAATGCACCGATTTAACATAAGGAAGGCCAAGAAAGTTTGTGCTCTTTTGGTAATGCAGTTTGTATCTGATACAGAGAATGTTTGGTTTCCCCGTCTGTTTTCCTTGACTGATGGGTCATTTTACAGTTTAAAATCGATGCACCTGCACAGATGATTTGGCCCTGGCAAAGCTTTGAAGACTCACATATCAAAGTGTTCAATGTCAGACCTCCTTTGTAGCTGATAATTGGCAATAAACCTGTTATGTCCCACCTCTATAGCTGTGATGTGATAGTGATTGAATTACTTGACTCGCTTTTTTTTAATAGTTTACAGGGTACTTTGTGTTCCGTAAATAAGGTATATTTTTCCAGTTACGAACTGTAGATGAGTTCTGTCAATTGTGTTGCCGTTCCTCCTGTCAACTTGTAGACTGATTCATTTATTTGGCATTTGTTAATCAATTTGAAACCTGTATATTTGAAGTTTGCCACCCCTCTGAACTCAGCAATAATCTGTCTCTTTATTACACTGCCATGGTTTTGCAAGCAGGAGTTTTAAAGACTAAGCAGTCTGTAGAAACATCACAGGTTTAATATGCATGAATGATAATGCTGATAACGATGATGAGTTAGTCTGGTAACTAGATATGGAGCTACCTAGTTACCCGCTGGCAAGAACTGAGATAACTCTGGTGTGTTCCTGAGGAAGTCCCTGTGTGTGCTCCAGGGCATGCAGTATGATCACCATGGATAGCACTCATGACATTTGGTACATCTTTTCCTACTGGGCCTGACACCATGTTTTATATCAATTATGTAATCAACCAAAAAAAAGGCATGCTGTCAGACTCAAACCCAAAGTTGTTTTTAATGCATGAAAAGATTTTAGTGACTGTCACATGAGGCAAGTCACTCTATCTAAGTAATGTACAACTTTGTTAATGTTTCACATGAAGGACATGATCACTAGCAATCGAGGGTTTACATATTTTGACCTCTTTTAGCATGCATTTCATATCTCACTAATATTCATCAGAGGGCGAACAGATGGTGGAACCATAGAGCGTTTCGCCAATCACAATATTGTGAGTATAAAATAAAGGACTAAGTTGTACTGTAACCCTTCAATGTCAGTAGGTGGATGTTCAAATCCCTTTGAAACTGACATTGAGGCATGCAAACAGATATTTTGACCTGCTATGCTGTTCTCCATGCCTGATTTACTGAATTGTTTAACATTCCCAAAAGGCCTCTAGCTCTCCTATCTTCTTTCTCTATCTGTGTCTTTCTGCATCTTTGCACTGAGAGGAATATAATGACTGCTTTTCTGAGCCCCTCACTAAAACATCATGCTTTTTTGCCAGTGCAATATTCAGGTTGTCCTGTGCTGATGAATAAAAAAGGATGTCCTCAATGTCTGAAAAAAGGCATTTGTGTTGTTTCATGTCAGTAAACAGGGGTTTGTTTGCTGGAATCTTGGCAAGATGATGGAAAATGTGCATGTATAGGGAAGAGGCTTGTGATTCCTCTTTTGCTGTTTGTGTGTGTGTGTGTGTGTGTGTGTGTGTGTGTGTGTGTGTGTGTGTGTGTCTGTGTGTCTGTGTGTCTGTGTGTGAGCCAGAGAGAAAGAGAGAGAGAGACTGAGGACTCTGTGCCTGAGTACACAGATAACACATCTCAGTCCATCGTCTGCTATGACATTGACATTTGTTTTTGCAATAAATAACCAACATGATGAAAAAACTCAAATATTGATGTCACACACTGTTCGTGTTTTGTTGGGCATACAATTTGATGCCAAAAGCATTAGTTCTTTGTACATGCATACACACAATGGGAAGTGAGTCCCCACACCATAACTCAATTCTCAAACCTTCAAAGTAAAATGAATGCTTCAATAACTTTTTTATTATAGTCTTTTATTATTTTGGTGCTCAAAGATTTGGGAGTTTTGATTCACTATATTTTGAAAGAAAAAATCTATTTCATTACAGGGACAGGTTCATATTTATTAGGATGTGGAGTATATCCATGTCAAGTGGTGTGCCTATTATTCTATCTCTACCCACCACATGTCTCATTTATGAATGTTTCCTCAATTAAATCTCGCTAAAGCCGTTGTAAAACCGTGCCAAATATTGGCAAACTAATAAAGCCAGTGCAATCAGCTTTTATTTATTTACACATTTCAGGCATGTCCAGAGGGAAGGTGGTAAGGGAAGAGGGTGGATTACTATGCAGTGCTTAATAAACCTCTACAGCTTGTGGTCTTACTGTGGAGTTTGCACCTGGTCTGTTCTCAGCAGGTAACACCTCCCATGGATTGACTGTCTGATATCCATCCAGCCCCACAGAGATGCAGCGGCAACATGCCAAAGCACATGGCCAAAATACAGTGGCATAATTTCTCCCACTTACTGTCTTGACTGTATCTTTGAAATTGCCATCAACACTGTGGAAATAGAATGAATATATATAAATAAATGGTGGCTTTGTATTTATGTTTCATCTATATATATTCATATCTATATATATATATGTGTGTGCATATATGTATGTATCTCTTTTGCTTACAAATAACTCATGAAGGTGCATTTTAGCTTGGCTGTCAGATCAAACATTAACACACATGCATAAGGTTCGGCAGTTAACATACATAACATTTATAGTATAATCAAACACAATTTGTCAGTCAGAGATGAAAATTGCACTCTGCCTTTCCCTGTAATTAAAACACCTCTCTGTATTTCTCTTTTATGTGTAGTGCAATTACAGCATTGACATTGCTGATTAAAGCTCCTTAACTCAGCAGGAGAGCTCTATTAGAGGCACGCGGAAGGCACATTTAAATGATGGCCTTCTAATTATTGAGAAGATGAGTATTTAGGTCAGTGAGACACAAAAAGAATTTGGAAACCAAAAAACCGATGACCAACAAAGTTTAGTGCGGTTAACACCTAGGGACCTACAGTCATGCAATGAAGGATATATTCAAATCCTTTGTATCAGTAGAAATTCTCAATTACAATTGAAAGTCTTCAAAATCATACTAAAAAAGTAAGTATTACCAGTATGTATTCTATGTATCTTACATTACTGGATCATTGATGTACTGTCAAAGCAGCAATCGTAAATGCTTTAAATTGTGTTTAATCTATTGAATAACAATTAATAATTTTATGAAGTCAAACAGTGTGTATGTAAAATCCTATTTTGGAAATGAACTAGTATAGGTTTCAAATAAATGTAGTAGAATACAAAGTAATACATTTGCCTGTGAAATAAAATAAAAGTATATAGTAGTATAAAATGCAGTACTCAACTAAAGGACAACTAACTCAGAATTGTACTTAAAAGACAATGACAGTTTAATACAACTTGGATATTAGTTTCATAGCTCGGGTGATTGTAATAAGTTCATGATAACACTGTACGCACTAAAGTAATTGCTGAGATCTATGGATGTAATGACATCGCTAAAATGTGTTTTATGGAGCAACAAACAAGGATGGTCCAAAAATCAGAAAGTTTATGAACAAGATAACAGTTTAGCCAGATTATCTGAACCTCTTTATTTAGAAATAAGATGAAAAGTCATGCCCCTTATAACCCCTCATTGCAAAGGAAAAATAGTGAGTGTGTAAGTAAGTCTGTAATTGCTAATGAATGTTCACAACAGAGAGTTTGGATTGTGATTTTACTGCTTGACTTCATTGTCTCTTTCAAATTAGTCTGACTATCCACTTAGCTTGACAGGGCTGGCAGCATAAGCAAAAAACATTTGAAAAGATCAAAAGGTAATTGATACAGTGCTTTGGCATATGGCTGCAATGTAACCTCCAATAATAATCAACTTTATTTATACAGCACAAAAAAACAAAGTTACAAAATTAATTACATGGTTCAACCAGAATTAAGACATTTCAGGACTGCAGTGAGGAAATACACTGATCAGCCATAACATTATGACCACCTGGGCACCCTGGTGGTCATAATGTTATGTAGCCCCATACACAACAAACTGCAATGCACTGTGTGCTCTGACACCTTTCTGTCAGAACCAGCATTAACTTTTTCCGGAATCTGAGCTACAGTAGCTCATCTGTTGGATCGGACCACACGGGCCAGCCTTTACTCCCCATGTGCATCAGTTAGCCTTGGCTTCCCATGACACCCGTTCACTGCTTTTCCTTCCATGGACCACTTTTGATAGATACTGACCACTGCAGACTGGGAACACACCACAAGAGCTGCAGTTTTGGAGATGCTCTGACCCAGTCGTCTAGCTATCACAATTTGGCCCTTGTCAAAGTTGCTCAGATCCTTACATTTTTTCCTGCACATCAACTGTTCACTTGGTGGCTAATATATCCCACCCACTGACAGGTGCCATGATAACGAGATAATCAGTGTTATTCACTTCACCTGTCAGTGGTCTTAATGATGTGGCTGATTGGTGTAAAATCAGACAATTAAAAATAATACAAAGTCATCAATCTCCCACTGAACAATCAGGATACCAAAATAATGGTTGTTTTCCTCTGGAGCTGTGATGATTTGACACTTTCACCAGCAATTATGTCCAAAAATTTTTTACCATACCTCACAGATCCATCCAACCATCCACCAAGCTATCTATAGCAGTTGCACTCCATCCATCAATGTTCACCTTTACTGGAGGCAAAATAGCCCATCAACTTTGCCTGAAACAACCCTGGATGTGTCCTAGACTTCAGGGTTTCCATGCAAGCCCTGGCATGACCAGAGGGCTGCTGTTGGCCAGGATCTCCACCTGTCCCAGGCAAAATGTCACGGTGGTGGTTTCGACCTCTGAAGTGTAGATAAGCAGGACAAACGAACTCCATCAGCCAACCTTTATGCCTCATTACCCTCCCTCTACCAGAGGAGGTGCCACCTGCTACCTTGTCAAGGTTGCGGTGTCCTTCCCTGCCTAACTACCACCAAAACAGCAGATAGTTGGCTGATTCCTTGCCTACCTTCACACACTCTTTCTCTTCATCTGTCGCTCTCAGTCTTTCACAATGCCCCTGACAGACGTTGGTCATCACTGCCAGAACTGCTGACAGGAGTCCAAGCTGAGTGTCAGCTTTAGCCACAGTTGGTACCGGTGGAAAGATGGAGGGAGTGATGGAAGGAGAGAAGGATAGGAGGATTACTTGAGGGCCTCTGCCAAAAGCCCCTCTTTTGGTGTCTTGGCATCAGAAGTGATGATTTAGATGGTGACACAGGATGATTTTGCCTCTTGTGTTGCCATTTCACCATGCCACCTGCAGATTACAAAGATCAAGAGCTACTTTAACACAATAAGGCCTACACTTGATGCGATTCAAAATGGCACTTTAATTTCAGCATGGGATATCAATTATTTAAATAAGGACCTTCTGTTATAGAATAGATATTACAACTGAGATCTGTTCTCAAATGTTTTACTGGACATATAGTTACAACACTCTTCTCTAAAAGCTTTTTGGTTTCTCTCAAGTATAAACCTACCAAACAGTCCAATGGTGCATTATAAAGGGCTTAAAAAGGAATAAAAAGTGTTCATTTAAATTTTTTTTTTTGCACCTGAAGTTAACCAGTCACTGTATTCAGGTGAAAAAATTGCAACCTTGACGGACAACCAGCTGTTTTGACCAGGTCAGGCGTAATCAGATCAACTTAGTTTGAAAACAGCTCCGCAGAGTTGGCAATACCACCTCTGCAAGCTTGCTGACTTTAACTTGACATTGATTCTTTTTCCATAACTACAAGTGGTAACCATAGAGACTGAATACTTACTCTCTACTCTTA